ATGGCGATCCGGCTCAAACTGGCGGTTCGGTTCATGAGGGGTTCGGTTCATGGCTGAACCGATTTTCGGATCGGAGGCCGGTTCGGTTCATGAACCGTTTTTTTGCTCACGCCTACTTATGACATCATCTTAACAATCTGGGCCATTGATTGTATTTCAATCCTATGTTTTTTACACTTAGATCAAATTGTTGACATTATCTTCCCCAAACAGAATGTATTTAATTCCAATAGATTTTCAATTGTCAAACAAAATTAACTTACATCCATTGAAATAAAATGTATTTAATTCTAATAAAGGTTTCCCACATTTTAAATCTTGAATTTCCGGTTATAAATGTTTTAATATTGTCAACTCTAAAAATATATTACTAAAAACCATTTCAATTAAGGCATTAAATATCAACCATTAATATAAATATATTTTTATTAGGAAACCATTAATAGCAAAAAATTAGATTCAAATTATCACATACATATACGATTCATCATTGAATCCGCGACTCACACTTATTTTCAATCGTTGTTTTACTTCAAACCTTCTCATACAACATCATTCTTATTGTGTATAACTTCCATCATCATTCTCTGCTTCAAACATTGGATGTTGTGCACTTTCGCTTTTTATATTTTTTTTCGATTATTTTTTTGTTCCTGTATCAAATATATGTATTCATATATTTCAATTTTCTTTGTCACAAATTACATGAAATCGGTTAACTACGTTTCTGAAACTTTTCAAATAAATAGGAAAAGATATTACGTACCTTTAATCGATAATTTTTTTTTACTTTGATGGAAACCAGTTAAAACACATTATAGCAAAGTACTTTGATGGAATGACAAATGCACCCATACCCATTTTCTTGTTCATAGTAATCAATTTTTTTGTGTATTCGTTTAGCATGGTACTTCCATTTTTTATCCGAAGGGTAAATCATTAATTTGGTATGTATAATGTTCACCAGAAGGGCAAATCAGTAATTTAATTTAAACATGGATCAAACCGTAAGTTGCTACTATTTTTGTTTGTTTGATTATCTCAACCTGGTTACTGTTTTTGATTGAATATAATATCTTAAATTGTTGGCTGAATTACAAGGATTGCAATCATGATATATAACTCAAATAATATGTTAAGATAAATATATGGTAATATTGAATGGAAAATCGAGGATAAGGGTATAATAGGAATACATATATATATATATATATATATATATATATATATATATATATATATATATATATAGTGTTTGAATTTAAATTGATATCATCATAGGATGGTTGAATTACAACAGTTATAACTTTAAATTCAAATTATAACTAAAGGGTATTGATATTGTTGGATGAATTTTGTTTTAAATGTTAACTATGATTTTAAGGTTTAGGGGCAGAAAGGTAAATTTATGTGGGATAGAATAAAGAAGGAAGATTCGAATTTACCTTTTGAAGGTATCAATAAACTCCTAAATTTATGTGATTTATTTCAATTTGATTGCAAATTAGATGCGAGAAACCTTTAATTTCAATAAAAGCTTTCCAATTGTCAAACAAAATTAACTCACATCTATTGAAATGGAATGCATTTAATTCCAATAAAAGTTTCCCGTATTTTAAAATGTGAATTTCCGGTTATAGAGGTTTTATTATGGTCAACTTTAAAAACATATTACTAAAAACCATTCTAATTAACACATTAAATATCAGCCGTAAATATAAATCTGTGTATATTAGTAACCATTAATATAAAATCCATTTTATTAGGAAACATTAATACCAAAAAATCTGATTCAAATTATCACATACACATTAAATACCATCACCCCATCGGAAGAATCAACATAGAAACAAAAGAACTCACTCTCACAGTCGATGCGCAGCATAGACAACGAGGGTTGTTGTTTCTGATACACTCCTCCTGATCACCTGAAACAGCTGCTTGAATACGCCTTACTATACTCATATAAGGCATATCATTGTCCTCATCTTTCACAGTCCCCACTGTAATGACTCTCTTACAGCATAAGAAATACCTTAAGGCAGCCATACCACAAAAACCCTTTGGTGCAAATACCACAACTATCCGGTATTCAATTAATAGTTAGTTGATATTAATGGAAGTCTCTAAAAGCACAAAGCAACCAACATTCGGGCATCAAACAACTTCTACCAGCACATAACCTAAACAGGCTATCCAAACCAACACATGAACCCACACTAGCATGCAACCCCAACTGCTCTAACCACAACACAAAATGCATCATCGAACTCAGGAAATCCTACCTCACAACTCCCGGAGATCACTAATCATAAGCATGCAACACTACCAGTTCAGAATAACAACTCATCGCAGCATATAATCAAGTAAGGGTATTTTGGGAAACCACCGCTCGGGCTCTGGCTGATTGTACACACCGCTTCGGGCCTGCTTTCAAAGCTCTTTAATCTCCTTGGAAAATCGTGTGATGAAAAAAATCATTTCTTTTGAAAAGTTATCAACTCCTCAGTTTGAGTCCAGACATACCCGAGGGTGTGCCCGAATCCCTCAAGCCAAGGCTCCAATACTAAATTGTAACACCTCAGATTTCAAAACAAAAATTTCATTTTTAATTCACCAAACATTATTCATAAATCCAAATCATCATAGAATTTTAAATAATTATTAAAACAATATTAGAGTATCCAAAAATCCACAAGACATCATAAGGCGGCGAATGTGTACAACCATGCCTCCGCCTTCCCGGAATCTACAAAAATACATGAAACACATTTAAATCAACACTGTAAGCACGAAGCTTAGTGAGTTCCCCAAAATACCACATACATAAATAATTAGCCTCTCATGGCTAAATCTCGATACGGACCCTCGGGTCAGGTTTCTCAATGAAGACCATCCGGGTCTCACGTCTCGGTATGGACCCTTTGATTATAACTCATTATATACACAAATAATATAACAACATAATTCACAAAGACAGAATGCATATTAACACATATCTCAATATAAGCAATTAAGACCCTTCGGTCAATAATATGAATAAGACCCTCCGATCAATAACGCGAATAAGACCCTCCGGTCACACATAAATTTAGCACACATGTAAGTATAATGAGAAAACTCACCTCAAACGGTGTGCGAATAATCCTACACTGCCGCTACTGCTACTCCCGAACTGAGCCAAACAACCCAACACCATAATCACTAACTAAACAAGGCTAAACCCCAACACTAGGCCCAAAGATAGCCCAACTAATTATGCCTACTATTGGTCCAAATCCATTGGGCCCACTAAGGCCCAACAAGGAAAGCCCATAATCTAATCCAAAGAGGAGTCCGAATCCAAAAGTAATTCATCTTTCCAAGAAATCCAACTCTCAAAGCCCAAGACCCAAAACCAAAGCCCAAAGTCCAAAAATGTCAAATGAGTCCAAAATGGCACTAGGCCATTTACGTTAGGCGTACCCACAGGTACGCCGAGCGTACTACCAAATCCCTTAGTACGCGGGGCGTACTATCATTTACGCTGGGCATAGATGCGATTTATCCAAACTTGTTTCATGACTTAATCCCTTAAGCACTTGGCCCCAAAACCTCATGAAACCTTCGAAATAAGCTATTAACTGATAAAATTGGCAACTTTATCAGTTTGCATGTATTAATGAGGCCCAATCATGCAAAATAATCCTTTAAGACCCATAAAAACCACCTTAACACATGCATGGTCCATCCTTAAACATCTAACAAGCATCTTTATGAACTTAATAACCTCAGAGATACTAAGAGTAACAACTCAAAGCTCTTGGAGTGGTGGCAAACCACTAGATCTCACCCATGAGACCAAAATGGGACCAAAACTCATATAATACTAGATCTAGGCTTCAAATGAGCAAGGTTAGAGCTTTATACCTCTAATAGGCTGGAAATGAAGAAGAGAGTGCAGATCCACAAGCCTTCCTTCGATCCACCACCTTGCATCAAGTTCCATTTCTTATAAAATCACCAAAACCCACTAAAGATGCACACAAAGAGCTCACAACACTCTTAGAGGAGGCTAGGGTTCGACGTTTGGGTTTTAGAACAATGGAGGCCGATAAATGACGGAGTCTTGAGGTTATAATGATGTTTATATAGTGCCCAAACCCTAAAAATAAGGTTTGGCACTCTGACCATTACGCGGGACGTACCATTAAGTACGCTGGGTGTACCTGGTCCACCCACATGTCCCTTAGCTCGACAAATGGGAGTAATCTGCCAACTTATTCCAACAAGGGCCAAACTTGCCAAAACTTCAAACTACCGTAACTTCTTCGCTATAAGCCCGTTTCCAACGAACTTTATATCCATTGAAAGGTGGCGAGGAGCCCTATGCTTCTAACAACACACCATAGTCTCAAAACTCCTCGAACAAAAACTCAAAATTCATAAAAGACCGAGTTATCAAATTACTATTATACCCTTGGGCTCCGGAAACACCATCGAACAATTGGATCACTTAAACCATAACACTCACATCCAAGAATGGCCAAATCCTTCCTTCCCCAAGGCCTAAAGCCTTATGATGATTGATAACTGGGCCACGACCCCGCACAGTGAAACTATTCGAAACCGGGTGTTACGTGAAGATTCATGCTCTGATACCAATTGAATAGTCAAGAATTCAATCAAGAATAGATTTTAATCAGAAGTATGAATACGAGAAGTAAATAAATATGTTTAAGCTCTCATTATCTGGAAGGCAGACAAAGGTTATACGTTGTGAAGAGTACAAAAGACGCGTAAAGGGTGCATACATGTAACCTATGGTGCAACACTATTTATAGTGCTATCAACAGATACAAAATATACTAGGAGACTTCGAAAATTAAGAACACAGACAATACTCTCCTAGAAATACATAGCTATATCAAAGTTGCTCAAACTTCAATAGAGACAACTACACTACCATTAACATTACAAAACAAGACTTCACACATGAATAACTTCACAACTTTTGAACTCTAATAATAGTTTCCAAAAATAGAACACAACATAAAATCTTTAATAATAGGCCTCATTCTCTCTATTATTTTAATAGTATAAAAGAGTATTACTCTGTATGCAACAACCATACCAAACAAGATTCCAAGGTCAATCCACTTAGAGTATCGCATCTCGATTTGCAATGAAGTCTTCAATATCATCTCACCATCAATTGTAGGAGGACCTCCTGAGTACTCAGGGAACTTTAGCCCTTCAAACTCATTTTTGCATAATCCTTGTAATACATACCTATGGAACGAAATATAGTACATAGGGTATCTCCAGAAAACATGGGGTAAATCATTTGGCAATCGAAAGAACCCTGCCCCTAGTATCATCAATCCTTGGATTCCAGCACCGGATATGATGCCCATAAGAAAATTTGGAACAATGGTAGCTACAATCATCATAAGACATTCAACCAACAACATTGATACAAAGAGTACTAACGCAAAATAGATAAATAATCTGGGTTCTCTTTGAAGTCCCATGAGCAGGTAAGCTATTGCTCCTGGGATAATGGAAATGACAAGTAGGTACGACGTTGAAGAGATGACATGGCTGATAACGAATGATCCAACCGTGTAGTGCCCATCTAATCTTTCCCCATTGAAAGACCTATATATAGATGTATTTGTGATATAGTTATTACAAAAGAAAATACATTCAAATGCATTTTTTTTATACAAGAACACATAAGATGTATCAACTAACCTTCATTTCCTCCACAAAGGAGGGGAACCCGCCGATGGCTAAAATGGTCAGGAATGTAGAAACAAACATGATCAGTGAAACCCTATCCTGTGCCATTAGGAAACAAAACAAACTAGTCTTAGTACTTCAACAAACGATCAGAAACACCACCGAAGATAATTTCTTGATGGACATTTTGTTTTTCTTCAACCATATTTTATCCACAATTGACCTTGGTGGTAGAACATTGTAACAAACTACATAAAATTTCAATGAAAATACTTTCTGCTCATCAAACTTTATAAATGACAAATTCTTTTTAGCGAGTACCGAAAGTTTTCAAATGATTTCCTACCATAAACTGACATTACTATTTTTCTTAAAGATCCATGATTCCAATAATAATCTACTCTAATAAATAATGATCTTTTTTGACATATGTCACATTCTAATGTATTTTGCCACATGTCATTTTGTAGTTATTTTAAATTAATTTTTATTCTACAATCATTTTATAGTTTTTTCATTTTATTAAATTTTCATATATTATTTAAATGTAATAATAAATGTATATCAATTTTATTAATGAACTTTATTTTTAATTTCAAAATTACTAAGTTAAAACCTCATTAGTTTCCTTTGTTTATTTATTTTAATTATTTGTTTCGATTTAAAAAAAAAAAAGACACTTTAATTTTAATAAATCAATATTTTTCTTATTTTTCTTATAAATTCAAAATTCTCAAATGTTTAGAATTTTATATTTATTTTTTTTTTTTCAAATAAACTCATATATTAAATGGATTTCCCACCGAATAAATAATAAATCAAAGTGAATTGGGAACAAAGAATAGAAATCAGCATATCAGACGCGCAAATATTTTTGTCGGTTACTTGTTTTGTTACTACAAATTTTGTCATAATTTGGTGTGCTTTCAGGAGCTTATAGAAAAAGCTCCAAGTAAGTGGTGAAGTTATGCAAAAAAAGATCCAGTCTTTTAGAGTTAATATAAAACTTACATATATGGAGCCAAATCCCAAACCAATTTGGAAAAAGACTGTTCCTAGTGAAAAACCCAACCCAATATATACACCAAGGCGCAACCAGTAGTATCCTGGATCACGGTACATGTTTATAAATGATCTTTGCGATAATACCGAGCACTGTTTGATGAAATTGGCTTCTAGGCTTCCTTCTCGCTGAATTAGTTCTCCTTCCTATAAAAACACATTTGTTTGTTATATTCTACTATAATGTAACCTCTGTTATATATAAGACAGAACACAGCAAGTATCATGTACCTCTCCACATATGGTGAATATTTCACTTTTCACTTGCATATACATCTCAGATGACATGTAGGATTCAGCGAGTGCGTTGATTATGTGCTCATCAGGAACCTCTCCACTAACAGTTTCCTGATTTTATTACAGCAAGAAAGCGAATATATTTACTAGTAGGGTCCTGATAGTGGGAAAAGACAATCAGTTGAATAAACATCGATCTTAGAAGAACTTTGTCGGTCCGTACGAAGTTTCAATTAAAACCAAGGATGTCATATTCAATTCTATGACTATACATGAAGTACAAGTTAGATAATTGCATAGATAGCAACCTTTACTATCATTCTGACTTCTAGCTTATTCGAAATATGATGTAGCATGACCACATATTTTTTATTTTATCAATTTTCTGTGAGATTGAACAACGGTAACCTAGCTATACCTCATCAAAATCTACGTTGATAGTCATAAGGTAGTGATCTGCAGGACTCTGGAGATCTGGGCACGGAAAACCATTTACTGCAAAGAACTGAAAATAACAATATATAGTGGTCATAATTAAATCTTCTTATGATATGTAATTATTATAATATATTTCATAAACACATGATGAAGAGATTATTACCTGATTTGCAGCCAAAGTAGGACCAAAGTATATTGTTTTCCCCATAGAGAGAAGACAAAGATTGTCAAAGAGTCCAAAAACTTGACTACTAGGTTGATGGATTGTTGCTAAAACCGTCATCTGGTATTGTCGAGTGAGCTTGACAATCTGGTTCATGACATGGTATGAAGTTGCGCTATCAAGACCACTCGTAGGCTCATCAAGCAGGAGAAGTTTGGGGTGTGTCAAGAGTTCTAAACAGATGCTTACACGCCTCTTTTGGCCACCACTAAGTGCTTTAAAACCCCAACCTCCTATTCTAGTATTCACACAATCTTGGAGCCCCATCTCCCTTATAGTTCTATCTGCTCTCTCCCTCTTCTCGGATCTTGGCATCAGCTTAGGCAGTTGGAGTTCAGCTGAATAGTACACGGCTTCTTTCACGGTTAGCGTCCACATTAAAACTTGTTCTTGAGTCATATATGCCTACATAAAATATAAAGCAAATCGAAAAGGTATGTTCTCTCGAAGTTCTAAAAAATGGGTTCAAATATGGAAGGGAATGTATAACTTTATCCATTAATTAAATAAGAAAAAAGTGATTCACTGTAGAATTGCTTCCATACCAAAGTGCCATAGGTAAGCCTCTGTTTACGTCCGTTAATTAGAACTCGTCCAGTGTGCCTTGTATTGGACGCCAAACGCCCTGAGAATTAATTAATATTAAACACGCAAATAATCTAAATTATTGTTGTATACAAAATGCATATAAACTGGAGAAGTACATACCAGCCAATGAATCAAGGAGAGTGGATTTGCCACAACCAGATGGACCCATAATCGCAACAATCTCTCCAGGTTTAGCATAACCAGAGACACCAGAAAGTAAAGATTTACATCTACCTTTCCCTGCATTCCACTCTGAGCTTGAAACAACTACTCTAAGCTCTTCCCATGTCAAGTACGCTAAACTCCTCCTTTCCTCCACAACACCCGACTCACACTCAACAGTTTCGATGTCTGGTTCTGGACTAATTCCGTTGATACGTACCTGACTATCCATGCAAGCTAAGATCAAAGCACAAAATAAATAACTATTGAGAGAGAGAGTAACTTTGAGCAGTTTGAAAATTGTGCGGAGACTGGGGGCTATATGCCTATATTTATAGGCAGTTCAGGATTTTTTTTAATAAACATTTTAGAGGTTATAACATGACCACATCAACAAACAAAAACTATATATACAATATAACTAGGGGTGAGCAAAAACCGCACCGTAACTAAAATTAACCGCAAAAACCGCATAAACCGCAACCGATAAACTGCAACCGCAATAAAAACCGATGGTGAGATTTTTCAGTTTTTCAAAAAACCGCAAATTTGCGGTGCGGTGCGGTTATTAGTTTTCAAAAACCGCAAAAAAACCGCACCACACCGTATATATTATATACAATTTTTTATATTAATTATTAAAAATAAGACAAATTTCATGGATGAAAGATGGATAAAATACTAAAAGACAAAAGTGTTGGTTTTTTGTGATGTTTAACTTTCAAAATGGTGAAATTAGACAATTTTAAGATATTTATTGTTAATTACTATTGATTTGACGTTTTTAAGATATTAGTTGTTTGTGATTTAAGTTAATTGTCTTATACCTTATGGTTTTTTATTATTACAAGTAATATATTTGAACTCTTAAAACCGTTTGAACTCTAAACTATGGTTAAAAACCACACAAAATAACCGCACCAAATCCATGCGTTTAATAACCACAACACAAAAAAAACAAAACCGCACCGCAAAAATAACCGCATAACCGCACCAAGCGGTTTTGAAAATGGATTAACCGCATTTGCGGTTAGTGGTGATGTTTTTGCTAATAACCGCACCGAACCGCACCGCGCTCACCCCTAAATATAACTACTGATAATAATTTATAAAAAAAGCTAAAACTGAATGAATCCATAGAAACCCCGTAATTAGGATAACGTGTATCGAACTAAATATACAAAATAGGATAAATTACACAATAAATTACACGAATGGTGCCTGTAGTTTGTGATAATCTGCATAGTTGGTCCCTAACTTCTTTTTTTTTTTTTAACTCGGCCGGTACTTTAAACTTTAATTTGTTACATATTTACATCCCTAACATACATAAAAAGACATTTTTACTCTTATTTATTTTTTTTAAATTTACTTATCACTTTTCTTTTATTTATAATTTTAAAATACGAAGGGACCCACTACCCTTCCCTACCAGGCTACCATGACATTCCTTTTACTCACTCTTCCCTTCGTTCCTTTTACTCAGCTTTACCGATGACCCTTCTCCTTGTCGGCGTACATTTTTTCCTTCTTGTGAACCTACATTCCCGAAAAGGACCATATGACATAGAAAAATAAAAGCACAACTAAGCACACATTACATTCAATGTGAGGTTTTCATTTCCTTTTACATTAAAATCACTTTTCATGAATTTTAAAACTACAAAGAAGCTTTCTTTGTCTAGCTCAAAAGATTTGATTTGCAAATATGGGGAAATTAGGAAAACAAATTTCTATTAGAACACCCAGCAAATCGACGATCACTTGCTCCACCACGATGCCCACAACATCAAATCAAAATTGTAAAAGCGGGAGATTGAACAAAAGTAGTTGCAAGTTGGGGTGTGGGGGGAAGGGGGGGGCAAAGGAACGAGAGGCAAAGAGAAACCTCTCAGTTAGATTTCATAGCATTTGTAGGTTTTCCGACGAGAAAAAAAAATCTACGGTTTTCGGTGTGGATTTGAAAAACAGAAACCTCAAATAAGTTACACTACGTCAAGGATCAACATAATAGGCAATCGGCGTTAAGTGACATCGAATTCAACTGTCACAGATCTATTTGGGTTCTCATCGGCGTCGTTGTCAGTGTTCCTTCTATTACACGACGGAAAGGTCACAAAGAATGGGAAGGTCTTCACGGCATAAAGTACACGAGAGAGACCAAAGTATACGATTCGTCCCTTGTCTAGTTATCAAAATACACATTCAGTCCCTATTTTCAAAAATTCATTTGGACCGTCCCTCATGTCGTTAAAACTAGGGTTCAGCAGCGGAACAAGGTACCAGCTTTAGGAACCGGAACTGTTTAAGATGGTTATGGTTCTCATTTTTTGGAACCGCTACCCGCTGGGTACACGCCGAAATCGATTTGTCTCTCTCTCTCTCTCTCTCTCTCTCTCTCTCTCGCTGTATATATATATATATATATATATATATATATATATATATATATATATATATATATATATATAAGTTATCAAAATACACGCTCAGTCTCTATTTTTAAAAATTATATTGGACCGCCATCATGTCGTTAAAACTAGGTTTCAACAGCGGAACAGGGTACACACTTTCAGAACCGGAGCCGCTTAAGAAGGGTCCGGTTCTCATTTTTTCGGAACCGCTACCCATTGGATAAACGCCGGAACCGATTTGTGTGCGTGTTTATATATATATATATATATATATATATATATATATATATATATATATATATATATATATATATATATATATATGTGTGTGTGTGTGTGTGTGTGTGTGTGTGTGTGTGTGTGTGTGTGTGAGTGTGTGTGTGTGTTAGGACTAAAACCCTAATTGTGATTTAATGAACAAGATGCGGAAAATAAGAACAAACACAAATATGAAGATATGTCAAATGATCACTCGATTTATTCAAAACACGAGGGATAAATTACACTTTCAGAATAGACTAAAGAATCTAACTCTACATAAGAAACCTCACAACGTGGCGGCTACATTTTGCCTCACTCTTAACCATAATAATGAATAATACATGACTATTTATAGGGAAAAGACAAGTCTTGAGCTTTTAATCTACACGTCATCAAGGGGGGCCCATTGCCATAATCCATGGAGTATTTTGAAACCCTACAATCTCCCCCTCAAAGTATGGAATGGATGAGAATGCTTCAACTTCCAAAACAAGCATCTAGAAAATGATAAATGATCTCGAGACGAGGAATATTTGAAGCAATCCACGAATCCTGATTCTTCAATAGTCTTCAAAAACGGGTTCTAGGATATATAAACCAAGCACTGAAGTAATGTCTTTAAACTTCATTTTCTAATGTAATCCCAAAGATCTTCAAGAAAGCCAAACCCGCCATAAAAACCCATTTCAGAATTAAGAAACCGAATCACTTCTTGTCTTTGAAGAACTCCCCCTCCAAGTCACAATGATCTTCAAATAAGCTAATGATATAAGCCACCAAAAATTATCATGCAACAACTCAAATTTTAAGATTCGTAACGTCACTTGATCAAGAAAATACTAGAAGTCGGAGATATAACAAATCCTTAGAAGAGCTCGATGAAGAACTGCTATTGTAAAGGATACTTTTCTGTAAAAGCTTTAGAAGAGCTCGATGAAGAAATGCTACTGTAAAAGCTAACTTCATAATTCTACCACTAGCTTTATCAAAAATCTTCAAATTTGAAAAGTCACAATTCCAATTTTGAATGGCCATACCAAATTCTCCCCCGATTTATAATCAAAAAAACATGATTATAAATCCTTCAAATGGTCATGAGAATGATCTTGAATGGATAAAAAATTACTATGCTCCCCCGCGACAAAATGATATAAACGATGAAGTATAAAATCCGAAATAGTCGATAAAATTTGACGTTATCACGAAAAACGACTTTCCGAACCGCCAAGACTTGATGGAATCCTTAATTTTCTGTTAACGAAAAAAAATATGTGCGTTAAAAATTCCAAAACTATTCACCAGCCCTCAAATTTGCAAACTTTTCGAAAAATGGGCTGAAATTGTCAATTTGCTGAAATTCAGGGACTGAAAAGGTAATTCTGCATCAGTTCCCACTTTATTTGTAACAATTTCTGGAAATGGACCAAAACTGCCAAGACACGAAAAACACAGGGATCAGAATAGTCAAATCGCTGAAGTTGCAGGGACCAATAGTGAATCTTTAATACCTTTGTCCCAATTACCCCTGATTAAAAGATCGACTGAAACGGCGACTCACTATGAATGTTCGTAGACGAAAGCCAAGATACCAATTCCGATCAACCAATAACTCTAATTTACACATTCGTTCCGAGCACAAGATGTGAATCCAAGCACATTCACATACGAAATCAAGTCTAATCTGATTTCCAATTGCGAGTGGAGTACGTATCTCGACCCAATTCCAACTGCGAATCAACTAATTGCGAATCCGAGTACAGTCGGATTTCCGATGCGAGCCGATTGGAACTACAAGTCCTGGTTCGTTCCGAGTCAAGCGACAATAGCCCAATGCGAATCTGTCCTAGATGCGAAAACAAGGCAACCCCGATCAATCATTCATATCGAGCCCTGAGTTGCGAATATGAGTCAACAGAGAACCTGATTCCGAATCCATTTGCAGTTTCAATTGCGAGATAGTTCACCTGAATCAAATGTCAAACACGAATCCAAAGCTTTGAGTGATTGTGGGAGAAAACGAGTGCGAGCCTAGATTCCAATTCCAAATCCGAACGTTCGCAGGTTGGAATTTTTTTTTTAAATCAATTTTGACTTTTCTGTTGACTAGCAATTGCGAATGAGCACACAACCACCCCAATTTCATTCGTTCACGTTACACTTCCGATTACAATTTCGATTAGGAACGCAGAAAGTCCATTCGCCTCAATTTTGACTTTTTAGATTGACTCGCAAGAAAATCTAAAATCTGCTTAATCCGATAACATCCAATCCCGATTTCATTGGTTCTTAACATTACACTGCAAAATCTGTAATCTTGATTCGCAACATGTTTAAATCAGTGAGTCTCCAATTTTAACTTCACAGAATCGATATAATCAAGAAACAAAACTGACACACGATGCATGAGCGGATTGATTTTGTATGAATCACCAAATCAAGTTATAAGATCAAAATCAATTTTGATTACAGTATTGTTAAAAGAAAATCGATTCAAGAATAGAAGAACTAACGATTTTACAGATTTACAGATGAGATGAATTGCAATAAACGATTTCAAGGAATGCCAAATCGATGAACTAAAATCAATATGGGAAGACTCAAAAACGTGAGAATAGTGGAC